GTATTAAAATAACTCAAATTAAATAAAACTAAAAACTTAATAAAAAACCTATACAGCCATAATAAATTCAGAAATAATTTAACTAAAATTAAAATAAATAACAAATACAAATAATACAAATCAAATGACAGTAGTTTATCAGTAATCCTAAAAAAATAACACTGCCAAACACACATGCTAAAAAACAACAACTTACTTGCACATAGTAAGAAATGTTTATAAAAACTGAAACAGAAGCAAAACAAGTAATAGGAAAGAGGAGAAATAAAAAGCGATACTTATCCTTTGCCGGTGTCCCTGCCCGGTGGAGTCGCATGGTAGAGTCGATGGTCTTTATACTCCTCGGTCTTCACACGATGGTTGCCGCGGTAAAATTTTTTATACCCTTCTAACAAAATACTACATTAATTCATCTGGACACACTTTCCTTATTTTCTCCACAACAAATGGCCAAGCAAGCGCAGACACTGACAAGATACGCGATACAGAACAAGACCAAACACGATACCAGCACGTCTCCACACAGTAAACAAAACAAGTGTTTCCTAGCAACGACAACTGCACTACACACTAATGAGACAAGTAAATACACTTACAAGCTGTTTTTAACTTCCGCTGATAAAGACTGCTTCTCTCAAAGACTATTTTTTTACACTGTTTTCTGCTGGCGCTTGAACACACTTTCCTTATTTTCTCCACAACAAATGGCCAAGCAAGCGCAGACACTGACAAGATACGCGATACAGAACGAGACCAAACGTATACTGCATATATATAAATATAAAATTCTGTCTGTTACCACAAAGTCTTTCTTATTTCTGTTCATATTTCTGTTTTGCATCCAAGCAGACCTGCACAAGGCCTTGCTTTTTTAATGCACAGAACAAATGCTTCATGCACTGTGACATATAACCTGCTCTGCTCAAAATGAGGTGCACTGTCAGATGTGGTACGGCTGTCTATTACTGGAGATATGAGATGCAGTAGGTGTGCAGAACATGCTGTGGAAACGGTGTTTGTGGCCAAAGGGCTGCAGATTAACCTAGGGCCTGTAACAGTGCTGTAGACAGAAAAAAGTAAATGTGTCACAGCATTACGTTAAAACAAAATACACTTCATCACATAAATGTATA